ATCATCAGATGTGGACTAATAATATATAAACACGTACTCTTTAATTACCAAATCATAGATAATGGGATACATACTCACTAACTAAATCAAAGATGGTGGTTAATTACCGTATGTAATTTGGTAATTAAAATAGAACTTGTATATTAAGGATGTGGACTTAATATATATATATATATACACACACTACTAATAAAAGTAGATTCGTTTTCTAATATTTATATACAATTTATCAGTCATTTTAATTCAATTAATATATTAAATCAGTTATATAAATTTTGTCAGTATATGTGACTTTTCACATACCATATGACTTTTCAAGCAATTGTTTCATTGTAAATTATTATATTCTTCTATACATACATATATCATAATGAAAAAAGTTTCTTATATTTATATACATTTATTCAGTTATTCTAATTCGAGAAATATAATAATCTTATACGAGAATTTTCATACATTACGTGACTTTTCACGCACTTGTTATCCTTCAAATTATTACATATATCATAACCTGAAAACTTTTCCAAAGTTCATCACTATTTTAAATAGCTAAAAAACCTATTCCACATACCTCACTTTTCACACATTTGTTTAATGAAAGTTTAATTTCTTTTACAAGTACATATGTAATAATGACAAAGCCATTCTAAAAGTTACCTTCTAATTAATACCAATTCAACACCTTCAGTATTTTAAATTAATAAATAAATCTCACTTAAAAGACACTAATATTTTCATTTTAAGAACAAAATAAATAATTAAAAAATATTTTAACATTACTTTTTGGAATAATTGCCTCAAGAAGATGCTATTTTAACTAGAGTTGTCTCCAAATTAAAATACCTATTGTGTGTGTGTATATATATATATACACACACACATATACTTTAAATCATCATTTTTAGTTAGTTACGGTTAGGGTTTTATTAATTAAATAAGTTTTTAAAACTTCCTATTGAATAATAAAATTTAATATGGAAATGTGTCAATATTGAATAGTCGCGTCTACTTACTAGGGGTGGGCAATAGTCTATATAAGGTTCCTCTGACATATTGTATATAAGTTTTAACGTGTACTGGGTACCTTTATGTAATTTTTCTATGTCATTATCTTCCTTTCCAAGAACCAAATCTATTGTTATTTTCATTTCCCTATATTTGAATTTATGGGCAATATGACAGTGTATGCGTGAAAGACATTGGAGTTATAAGTACTATTGCTTTCCTTTTCATTATACAGGCTAGAAATTTCTCAACTTTTCTCTTTAATTTTAATATTTGATTTTATATTGTACTTTAAATTTTATTATGGTTAGATGGAAACATTGGAACTCTTATTTATATATATATTTTGAATTTTATTATTGTTGAATAAAATTGTTGAAAGTCGTGTCATTAAGAAAACGTAATATAATGAAACCAAAACACATGTGATAGGTAAGTTATTTGTAATGGTTGAAATTGAGATTCAATTAGTCTTACCGAAAAATTTAATCTCTGAAACTTTCTTTAAAAAGGAAAGGAATAAAACGTTTTGTTTCGTGTTATATACATCACTCCATATATATACATTTTAGACTGTCAAGATTGTTTAAAAATAAAAATTCCATTCTCATTTGAAGTTTTTCATGATTGAATCACTTCATCTCAAATACTTTAAAGTGGTATTTCCTGTTTGAACATGACTATTAAAACGATTTTACAGATTGAGAATTATTATTATTATTTTTTTCTGGTACCTAGAACATTCATCAAAACATTTGAATCCATATTAAATTCTCATAAAATTCAGTTTTTATTAAATAACTTAACGATCAATGTTCTAGAAAATTCTAATTGTTTATGCAAAACAAAGTATATATGAGAAAGAATAATAAAACCATGTTAGGATTCATCCTTTTGGCAAATGATCAATTATTAATTTTAAAATAGAGAAATATATGCATTGGAATTTTTAATAAACGCTGCTAATTTGAAATTTATTTATTAAAGTTGAGTAATAGGTTGCTATCTTTAGCCAGGATGCACTGATTATGTAATTATTTATGGAGGTAGTTTGATTGGTACTCACCTTCTTTGTTTCAGTTAATATCAGTATTGCTGCCTTGACATTAATTTCTATAACATTTAATCTCATACTCTTTTTTATTATTATTGATTTAAATATGCAATTTTGTGCTAGTATCTTCTTTTTATTATTGTGCTAAACAAAAAATTTATATCTTCTTTTTATTTATTAACCTCAAAATGCAGGGTAAATTTAGTTTGAATTGCATATAATTTAATGTAGCTGGTAACAATTTATTTTACATATATTAAGGAAGGAAATCTGGTTGTTTTCAACAATTATATGTTATATTATATTGAACTAAATTTTCACCACGTGCAATGCACGTACGTAGATAATTCTATAAAAGTGTATTTGAATTATAATATTTATATACATTTTAAAATAATTAAAAAATATTATTACGTGACTTTTCAAGTTTCTCATTTACATTGTTATACACCAATTATTGCATTGTTTAGGATTTCAACACTTTTTGATATTATTGTTAATGCACTTTTACACCTTTAGATAGATAGATTTACATTCTTAACTACCGGCACCTCTTTGCAAAGAAAGGGAAAAAAAAAAAAAAAATCTGAATTGTTTTATATACTTTGGTTGTCTTCTTTTATAAAGAGTTTCTTTTAAATTCAAACACTTTTTCTTTCATTATAAGAGTTATTGTCCAATTAAAATATATCATATCTCATTTTAAATTATTTTGTATTTATTATTATTACTTTTACAATAAAAGAACATGTTTTGCTTTGTTAAAACTATTGAAAGTATATGATCATATAAAAAAATTAGATAGATATTTCATCTCCCTAAATTACTCTCTCTCTCTCTCTCCATCTTTTTATGCAAATTTTTTTGTCCAAAAAGTTATTAGATATTTTATTCACGGCCACCTTTGAACCCCTTTTTGCTGGAAACACATCTTCAAATTGATTATCAAGAAAGTTAATGGTAAAAACTTCTTATAATTGAACAAACATATTATTTCATGAATAGGTTTGTAGTAGCTTATAAATAGTAGAGTAGTCCAATAATTTTTTAAATTTCCTTCTTTGTCCATGCAACCAATATACTATCTCATATTATGTATATAAAGTGTATTTGATTTATAATATTTATATACATTTTAAAATAATTAATTTAATTACGTGACTTTTCAAGTTTTCCATTTACACTGTTAAAACTACTGGCACCTATTTGCAAAGAAAGGAAAAAAAATAAAAAAATAAAACAAAACAAAACTCCAGACTATTTTATATACTTAGGTTGTCTTCTTTTTATAAGTGTTTCTCTTAAATTCAAAAAAATGTTTCTTTCATGATGAGTTATTGTCTAATTAAAATTTACCACCTCTCAATTTAAATTATTTTGTATTTATTATTATTATTTTTACAATAAAAGAACATACTTTGCTTCCTTAAAACTATTGCAAAAAATTATTAGACATATTATTCACGGTCACCTTTAAAACCCTTTTGTTGGAAACACATCTTTTATTGTGTATCAAAATGGTTTTCAAGTACTTTAACCAAAAAAATTGGTTTTTCAAGTAAGTTAATGGTAAAAACTTCTTATAGTTGAACCGACATATCATTTCATGAATAGGTGTGTAGTAGCCTATAAATAGTATAGTAATCAAATAATTTTCTAAATTTCCTTCTTTGTCCATGCAACCAATATACTGTGTGTATATATATATTTATGTTGAATCCATGAACAATATGATAATGGAAGAGTTGGTAAATGTTTTTTGTGAACGTGACAATCTTGGAGCCTTTCAACTCTCCAACAGGCCAGAAGTTTCTTATTCTCTATTACTCTAATACGCTTTTACTGATATTTTATTGGACTGTTATTATTTTATAATACTTTATTTCAAAAATCTACTATCCTTTAAAATACTCTCGACGAATTTTAATGGTTTGAAAAATAAATTCCGACTATGTGTGAACAACTTTAAGGTCTCCATATAATATGCTATCATATATATTATATTTTATTCAGTCATACATAACAAAAAAATAAAATAAAAAATAGATATAAGACGTGCACATATAATTATTTAATTTTTATTGCATGTTTTAAAATTTATTTATAAAAAATGTAACGTGTTATATGTTGTATTTATAAATGTACTGTTATATTCTAATCTCTTGTACAATTGATTCAATAGTCTTTTTCATTACTTTGCAAAATAAAATTATATTCTTTAATTGTTCGGCTATAAATAGCACAAGAATATTAGGGTTTGCGTACGGTTGGATAAAGGGAGTTTGAAGATGATGAAAAGTCTTATTTATCTTTGAGATTAATAGTCAAATAGTTATTCGGATGATAAATGATAACTTAAAGTTTTGAATTTATTTTGCTCTAAATTTATAAGTACATAAACTAAATTAATTTAGCACTTTAATTTAATTTCATTTTAGATTTTATTTCTATATTTGATTTCCAAATTACTTTTACGTATCATTTAAGCTATTTTACTATCTCAAAATCTTGTTAAGTTCAATCACGTGTATCGCACGTGGTCCTATCTAGTGTGTATATATATATTTAAAATGCATAGAGAGGGAATGAGATATGAGAACTTGGATTTTTGTGATTAGGATTTGTGGTATTTACCACAAAATGGTAGGTGGTGTTTGTGCACAACGATAGACTGTGAAGTTTCATTTTTTTCATATTGTTTTTTTCATTCTCCAATTTTGGATAAATTCAATGTTAATTTAATTGAATTGAGATTGAATTTTAATTAGAAAGTGGTGTGTTCTGAAGAAAAGAGAGTGAGGATGTTTTTAGAGAGAGGAGGGGGAAGGGAGAGTTGTAATATGATGCATCTATTAAAAAATTCTAATTTTAAGGGTATTTACGTAAAATTATACTGCCCATTTCTGGTTCATCATTGATTAGGTTTGGTTTCAGGGGAGGTTATAATAATCTTGAACAATATAAAGGAGGTTCATGTAATCAAGAAAAACCTCCGTGGAGGTCATTATACTCAGATCTGTCAAAGGTCGTAGCTTCATAGGAAACTAAAAAGATCGTTGAACATGAAGGTGAAAAATTTCCGAAAAAGAAGTGCAGAAGGCGACGAAGACGGTCAACTTCTGAAAGATGACGACGAGGAAGAAAGGAGGTATTTATTTATTTTTTTTCATTTATCTTCGCAACCCACCTCACAATCTAGATCTAGTTTAGGGTTTCACGTTTCCTTGATTTACACCGGATTTTTCATATTCAGTCACACACATATTATATTGAGACAGATATCCAATTAAGAATCGAACTTAATCAGGTTGGCGTTAGAAGAGGTGAAATTCCTTCAGAAACAGAGGGAGAGGAAGTCTGGAATTCCTGCAATACCGACAGCAACCCAGGTTTCGGTGGGCGGTGGAAGCGCCAGCGTCAGCGGTGGTTTGGTTTCCAAGAAAGTAACCGACAAGAGCGAAGGGGATGGGGAGAAAGACGAGTTGGTCTTACAGGATACCTTCGCCCAGGAAACTGCTGTCATGGTCGAAGACCCCAATATGTATGTAAATGTAACTCTTCCCTTATGTTATACGTATTTCCAGACCTGGTATCTTAAGTTTTCTTTCACACTGAGTTCTGTCTGAGTTACCGGATCACTAACATGCCTAGTATTTCATGTCGTCTCTACCTTTGGTTACTGGACTTATCAATTTTTGCGTTCTTTTTTTTTTTTTTTTTTTCTTTTTTTCTAAGTAATATTATTACTTATTTAATTTAAAGAATTAGAGACCATAGGACTTAAAATCCCACCCCTTAAAGCTTAAGCCTCCTTTAGGATGGATTGACTGTTCATATCTTGTTAACACATCCTAAATATTGATTATTGTGGTGGTCTGTTCACATTTCTTTTATTTTTAAAGGTCTGTTGGGTTTGAGAACTATTCCGGTGTTTGTTTACATAGTTGTGCAATGATTTATTTTCCTAATTATTGAAATATTGTAGCTTCTAGTTTGAATTTTGAAAGATTGTTAAGAAGCATTTTTTTTAATGAGTAATTGAGGACAAATGGCAAAATATTGTTTAAGATTTTTAGTCACATTGAATTAAAATTGATGATTGCATCAATAATGCGGAAAGTTTAAATGTCAAGAACTTGGGTCTAAACAGTGTAAAAAGTTATGATGGATTATGATTTAATTGGGATATGGCCCTAGGTTGAGTTGAATGGTAATGAAGGATTTTTATAATAGTTTTTCAAGTAGGCAGCATGGTTTTAATTATCAGATGTTAGTATTTTCAGTTTCAGCTTCTAAGCCCACCGAAACATACCTTAATACTGGATATGCTCTCCAAAAGTTACAATACATAATAAAATTTAATCTAAAATCTATCAAGAAATGGAGACATTTCAAATTAAAAAGTATGTTCTATTTTTTAGTGGGTCTTGTTTTGACTCTAATGATTGATGATGAGGAGAAGATGGAGATTAAACATTGCGACCTAACTTTACTTAGAGGTGTTGGAGATGGAATTGACGACTAAGGCCATTAGCGAGGGGCATTATGTAGTGTTCTTATGAAAATTTAGAGGGACATAGAGTTTATATGAATTGATGGATTATGTTGCTTTGAAGGTTTGGATAAATTGCCCATTTTGGGAGATTGACTATATCTATTGACTGGCTTGTTATTAGACTAATTTGATTGGTACTAATTGGCGGAAGACTAGAAGGCTTATTAACATGGATAAATCACATATTATATTATGGAGATAGAAGTCTTTCAATCACTCATGTCCTAGCTCGTCTTAGAGCTAGATTTGCCCCTCTCAGGCTGGGAGGCTTGCCTTGCCCCGGACTAATAAGTGAATCAACTTCCTCATTTCATTTATTGAAGATATATCAAATAAGAAAGAGACCTTTGTTTGCAGCCTGGGTTCATGTTATTTATCTCATCGCCTCGGCGCTTCAATTACCAAACCGCCCGCCAGAGCGCGGATCAGTTCGTATCATTTTTCGAATAAGATGTGTAAGTAAGATCACTTTCATGGGATGCGCTTCCTTTTGACTGCCTTTTTATAAAACAAATTCACTTTCATCAGCTAGACAGGCTACCAATTGCTGTTTGGAATGAGATGATAAAAGGTGAAAAAGAAAAAAAGAAAAAGAAAAACAAGTTTTACAAATGGATTACACCTAATAATGACACTTGGGCATAGTATTATTACTGTAGAATGTAGGAGAAGTTTGGTGAGTAGAGTTCAAGGATCAAACAAACTCTTTCTTGCTACAAAAACAGTCTAAAGGTGGAGAATTGATCCCTGATTGGCATTTTCATCCATTGAGATGATTTTATGGCTTTGAAGGCATAACAGTATATGATGCAACCTTTAAGTTCAAAGTTTGGGCCTCAAATTTGAGAGTAACTGCTACTAAAACAGCTGATGCGCTGCATGTGCACCCACTATTCTAAATGCAATTTGGCTAGATGATCTCAATCTTTATCATAGACTATGTTACATGGACTTTGGTAAGTATGTAGGATGTGGGTATGTGTCTAGATATTGGATGTATACTTTAAAATTACGGACACGAGCACCATTCCATAGCAACACTTCACTCATAGTTAATAGCATAAAAAAAATGAAATATTATTTTAGATATAGTTATATAATAAATTGAATAGTAGGATACTTATTAAAAAAATAAAAATAAAAATTGAATAGTAGGATATTCTTGTTTTGTGCATTTCCTACCTAAGTTTTGGGTGTCCTATGTGCTTTGTTAGTTGGAATCTTCATTTTAGTCCAAGGTGTTGGTGTCTACGTGAGTCGCGACACATGGACACTGGTGTGAGATACATGCTAGAGATGGCCTTGGTATCTTGAACACGACAATTTGTTGAAGATAAGTTGCGCAACAGGGAAAATCTGTTGTTTTTCAAAGTTTTTAAGAAAAGTAATTAGTTGAACAGTGGCTTAGGTGCCTGAGTAAGTGCAAGAGATTTCACGTCACGACCCAAAACCCTAGTTATGAAATCTGCGCATTTGAAGCGCGATAAAAGAAAAAATAAATGACAATAAATCAAATTGCATAACATTCTAATGCATCAAAATTATTACAATCAATGAGATCATGTTTCGTAATACCTTACAACACCTTTTGAGTGGTCAAAACGCCTGGTATATTGCCACCCACCCCTGATCATTGCTTCCCTAACCAGTGACCCTATAGATGAGCATTCCATCCACTAAAGCATTCCGCTATCCATAACTACTCGGCTCAACATGTCCCTTCTCATTATAATTTATTTCTCATGGATCAAAAGCATTTTCTTTTCTCATTCCACATGTGAAAACATTTAGCACAAGGCTCATTTAAATAATTCAATAAAACAACAAATCATTTCTAGAACTGAAAACATGGGAAGACATGCTTTTTTTTTTTTATAAGTAAAAGTGTATTAGAAAGCGTTCAAAAGGGGAACGCATCCCAAGAGCTGTACAAGAACTAAGAGCAAAAAAGAAAGCCTAAGGATCCAAAGACCCCAAAAAGTCCAAAAACTCCTCAACGGAAGAACAATCTCTCCCCATGCCCCAACTAAAAAGAGAACAAATAATAGAATACTTATTAGCCCCAATGGGTAACTCCTCCCCAACAAAGGATCTTCTATTGCGTTCTTTCCATATACACCACCAAATGCAGAGGGGAGTCGCCCTCTAGAAGTCGCGAACTCGAGCCCCCACCCTTTGTCCCCTCCAAATATTGATAAGACCACGTGAGGTCTGAGGCATAATCCACTGAACGCCAAAAAGACCCAAGATAAGGCTCCAACAGTCATGGGCCATTGGGCAGTGCAAGAGAAGGTGATCCACAGACTTTCCATCGGTCATACACAGACAACACCGATTAACAATGACATGCCTCCTCTTCCTCAAATTGTCTAGGATCTTGCCCCAAGCAGCAGTCCAAGCAAAAAAAGCCACCCTAAGAGGAGCCTTCGAATGCCAAACCATTTTCCATGGATAAGAGGGGGCCTAAAAACTGGAAAGACAGAAGAAGAAAGACTGGACTTGAAAAGTTCCCTGCGAAGAAGGCACCCAAGTCAAAAGGTCCGCCCTAGTGCCCTCCACCTCCTGTCGATACAAAAGGTCCAAAAAAGCAGTGACTTCATCCAGCTTCCAATCTTGAAAAGCTCGCCGGAATTGAACATCCCAAGAAAACCTACCGCTATTAAGGCGATAGCAGTCATCAACCAAAGCATGGCAATCCACAACAATCCTTAACAACCTTGGAAAACGTTGACACAAAGGACGTTCCTCGTACCAAGGATCCTCCCAAAACCGGACACTTCGACCTTCTCGGACTCTGAATCTGATATGCTTAGAAAACTTATTCTAACCCTTCCCAATAGACTGCCACACACCCACGCCGATAGCAGATCTAGCCTGTCTAGCAGACCAACCCCCTCTATCCTCCCCAAACCGGCAAACAACGATCTTCCTCCAAAGTCTATGTCTTTCACTGCCAAACCTCCAAAGCCATTTGCCAAGAAGGGTCCTATTGAATGGGACCAACCTCCAAATCCCAAGGCCTCCTCACTTAAGAAGCTTGCAAACTTGCTCCCACCGAACAAGTTGATACTTAAACTCCTCCCCCCTACCACCCTAAAGGAAGTTACGTTGAATCATCTCAAGTCTCCTGACAACAGAAGAGGGAATCTGGAACAGAGAAAGGAAATATGTTGGGAGGCTGGACAGGACACTCTTCACCAGCGTAACTTTTCCTCCCTTCGAAAGATATTGTTTTTTTCCATCCAACCAACCTTCTCTCGAAGCGCTCAATAACTGGTCCCAGCAACCCACCCTTCTTGAGGAGGCCCCCAAGGCAAACCCAGATAAGAAATAGGGAAAAAACCTGTCCTACATCCAAGAACAGCTGCCAGGGAATCCATCTCCTGAACCTCCCCCACAGGGACAAGCACACTCTTGCCCACATTGATTCTCAAACCAGAAACAGCCTGAAAACAAACCAGAATACATCTCAAGTATCTTAATTGGGACACCTCTGCCTTACAAAAAACCAATGAATTATCCGCGAACAGCAAGTGAAATCTCCAATTGATGAACTGCCTCAAGACCAATCTTGAAGCCCCGAAAAAGCCCCAAGGTAACAACCCTCCTCATCAGCCTATTAAGAGCCTCCATAACAATAATGAACAAGAAAGGGGAGAGGGGGTCCCCTTGCCTCAAACCACGAGAACTATTAAAAAACCTCGAAGGGGATCCATTAACCAGCATCGAGAATCTGATAGACGAAATGCAAGTAACAATCCATTTCCTCCATCTCTCACCGAAGCCCATCCTCTCAAGCAAATAGCACAAGAAATTCCAGCAAACATGATCATAGGCTTTCTCGATGTCCAACTTACACAAAACTCTGGGAACGCCGCTACGAAGCCTAAAATCCACACATTCATTGACAATAAGAGCAGAATCCAGAATTTGTCTGCCCAATAAATTTTGAGACTCTGAAATGACTCCGTCCAAACCCTCCTCAA